CCATAATAAACAATTTAAAACAGTTGATATAACGATGGCGGTGCGATATACTAAAGTGCATTTAAGAACACATTCAGCGGTGCTACTACTCTAGGTAACTTCTAGCTCTAGGTCAACAGGGCATGGCTGATAAGATGCAGCTCCTATCGGAATGCCTGCTGGAAAAGCTCTGTTTTCACGGCCCTGCGGAACTCTAACAGGACTCATGCTGCTTCTCAAAAAAAAAATTAAAATGAGGGGGAAATGGAGCTTGTACACCAATGAAGGGGGGAGGGTGGCAGAAGGTGCAGAGTGGGCAGAACCATGTGGGCAGGGGAGTGACCGAGGAATGGCAAAAGATTGGGGGGAAGTCTGTATTATTATTTTTTAAATATTTTCGGCTTGGAAGTGAAGCAAGGGGGAAAATCAGCACAAAAGCACTCTGAGAAAATCCAGGGAAACAGCGACCAGAAAGTGAACTGAATGCTGAAGGGAGGGAAATCAGTGCAGAATGACAAAGAAAACCCGACGGACATGCACAGTGAAAGTAAGGGAAAACACCCATGCACAATAGGCCTATGATGAAAGACATCTCCTTTAGCAGTGAGTGATGAACATGATTCCAAAGACCCAGTCCACTTACGCCTGTTCAAGAGAAGTATGTATGTTTCAGAGGCTTTCTATCCTTGCTTCTATGGTAACTTGCGTGTCAGTGGTGATTTCCAATGCTGATGTTCCTAAATGCATTGCAAATTTCTGCAAGTGTTGCATATGGGTAAGCCTCCAGGAGAGTGCTCATTTGTGCCCTTGTGGGCACTCTACCCCCAGTCAGTCTGTAAGGTAGTGCTGTAAGGCTGTCTTTGCCACTCTGGCAGCCTGCTAGAAAGGTTAGCTGCTGCTCTTTTCTCTCCTGTGCTTGGGTGCCAATAGTGCATTTGCCCAGAAGGGGGGGACTGCAGCTTAAGTAGCAGTTGTCAAGTGAGATGAGAGCTATTGGAGGATCACTTGGCCACAAGAAGCCTCAGTCTGAGCGACTCATCTCAGACTGCTGCTGGAATTCCTGTACCCTCTCACTTCTTGGTCAGTTGTACTGTTTGCTTGCTCAGTGGCTGCCTTGCCTTGCCTCCCCCAGACTACCTGGGCAGTGATGAACAGATGCTGCCTGCCTGCCTTACTCAGATGTAGCTGTGCCTCCAGGCTGCCAGTCCTAACAAACACTGCTGGAAAATAGTAGGGCTGGTTTTGGGGAATTTGTGACAATTCCACATGGATATTAATTTTGCTCTCAGATACTTTCCCAAGTAGTATAGGAGGGCTGTAACATATTTGATCTGGCTCTTAGCCAGTAAATAACCAGTAAAACCTAAGTGCATGCATATAGTGGTATTCTGTCAGTTTATTGGGCATCAGCCACATTGTACTGGGATGCTGTAGAAATGAGGCAGTAACAACCACAGATGATTTGGAGGTAAACTGCTGTATGAAGGATTCCAAAGTGAATTTGTGAATAGAGTGATAGATAGAATACAATAGCCACGGTATAAAAGTAGCCTGCAGATTATTTGTGCATAATGCAGAGTGTCTCGAGGACCTTTTGCTTATCTCCTCTTGAGTTTGGCAGCGGCTCTTTGTTTCTTCCCTGTAAAACATCATCATCAGCCACTCAGCAAACTGATTTGTTCCATTTACTTTCCTGTCAGTCCAAACACAAATGCAAGATGAATTAGCAGTTTTTTCCTTTTTCCTTTTTCGTATGCTGTATAATTAAATGGCATGGAAATGTATCTGCTAAAAAGAGAGACGGGGCAATTATTGTTTGAGTGTTAGGAATCTACCTGGATTTCCTTGTGAACATTACAGGATCTGGCAAGGTTATATTTAATTTACTACATTTATATCCTGCCTTTCTCCCCGATGGAGTCCCAAAGTGGCTTATATCATTCTCACCTTCTCCATTTTATCCTCACAACAAATCTATAGTCTGAAAGTGTGTGACTGGCCCAAGGTTTCCATGGCACAGTAGGGATTCGAATGTGGGTCTCCCAGATCCTAGTCTGGCAATCCAGCCACTACACCACACTGGCTCACATCGACCTGTGGAATGAACCTACATACAAGTAGGGCTGGGTCCGGAGGGACCATTGTGAGTGTTCTTTAAAATCTATTTAAACACATGTAGTTTCTATCATGGGCCTATGTAAGTGAGTTAGCCACTATCAAATATGTGGAGACCCAAACCATGTTAGGTTTCCCAAACTCCACCCCCTCCCAAATATCCTGCCCCTCTGCTAGCTTATTTCTGCTTTATCCTCCTTTCTTGTCCTTCCCAAATCTTCAGAAGACATGTTGGCGAATTGCTGTAGCACAACCACTTCCTGTCTTGCATGTTTTGCCATGATGACAGTATAAAGGGATAAACTAACTCATTGTTGCACCAATCGCATTGTTCTCCACGCCATCTGAAGAACTATGATTCCATCTTCCTGTCTGCACCAGCCAATTTTTTTCCCAGTCCTTTTTTTTTTTGGCCTTGCTTAAATTGCCCATCATTGGGACAAAAGCACGGTCATCTTAATCTCTCTGTGAGGTACCACCCTAACCTCAGCTACTGTATGAATCTCAATATTATTTCAGCTGTCCTCTGCTGCATTCGATGATATTTATCGTTGGATTTGGTTGGGGGGAGGAGGAGGAGGGAGGCAGAAATGGAAAGGGGGATTCTCTAGCCATGTCACCTGCTTCTCAGCTGTCACGCTCAGCCAGCTTTTGCTATTAGTGCCCCTTCGTGCATTTAATTGGTCCCTCCTTCCAACAAGACTGACTCCATTTGGGGGAAAATTGGAAATTCAGCTCCAGCAGTTTTTTCAGCTTTATTGTAATGTGCTCTGCTGGGCTGGGATCTGGGAAAGGAGTTCCTGAGATGTCAGTGTTTGGGGACAGAATCCTTTTCTCTACCTGCCTCTTCCCTGTTTGAGTTCTATTACTGCTACCTCTGCTTTTAGCACATCTTAATATTTGGGGAGGGGGGATCCAGTAAGATATCTTAAGCAGCTTTAAAAAAAAGTGATTTAGCATATCTCATAATATATATTTGGAATCAATATTTCAAGATGGTTTAATGTTCTGCTATTGGTTTTTTAGTCCCTGAATCGTATAGGCAGTGCCTTTTTCTTACTAAAAAGGAGGTAGTGGCAGGGGCACAAGTCTGGCTAGAACTTATTATTATGTTTATGAGATGGGCTATGTTTACTGTGTGATGACAAAGAAGGAACTGTGTACGTGCCAAGATAAACTTTAAAAAACATTACTCTTCCATATTCTGGAACTCATCATTGGTATCAAATAGAGTGGGGTATAGACCCAGCAGCAATACTGTAGAGTCTTGTGAGCAAAAATTCTACTTTTTGAGCTACTGGCATTAAAGTTGTAAGCGAGCGATTTGGCTACTGCATAAATAAAAATGTTTGAGCCAGAGGCTAAAAAAACTGAGAGCTAGCTCACACTGACTCAGTTTAGAGGGAACACTGGACCCAGGGTATATTTGGTGCTTGTTCCTTTAACCGGTTGCCAGGTGATTTAGAGAATTCTGCTGTTTCCTAAAGTATGATTGCACTAGTCTCCAGAACGCAGTGGATCTGTTCAGGCATTCCTATTGTTTGATGACAGTAAAAAGTATTATCTGAGTTCACCCTGAGATGGAAATCATGACCCTCACTTGCTTGGGAGTAATTTCCAATGGAATCCTTGGACTTTTCAAGTAAATAAATTGGCGCCTCAACTCCTGAATGAGTCATGGTTGTCTACCATGGAGTCATAGCTCAGTAATGGCTTTGTTCAGATGTTTGATCATTCTTGTATTCGAATGAAGGAAGCATTTGGGCTATCTATTGACTATGCCACTTGGATATCTTGGTCCATATGATGTACTGGTATCATTTACAGAATTGGCATTAGTACTGAAGCTTTAATTGTATTCCTGGGCCCCTCATAAGGAAATGCTTACTGGACATGCACCATGAGGAGTTCCCCCCAGATACCCCACCCACAGGTGCAGCAAAAAGCTATGTTAACAATGAGAACCATACTAAAGGCCAGTCTTAACATGTAGATTCAAGGTATTGTGTACTATTACTTTCATTTCCAGGCAGAATCCCATGTGTTTATATTATCAGAAATATGGATTACTTATGTTGAGGAAACAGAAAATTATTATATGATTATCAAGAATGGCAGGAGATTCAGTTTTACTGTACATTCCTTATTTATGCATTGGGTGTATGTGTGTGAGCGAGCGAGCAAGAAATAGGCAGATTATTTGATATATCTGGGGAGGGAAGGAAATGCATCATGCTCTGTTTTCCTGTATATATATCAAATATAATGTCCTAGGCTTAGAACATGACTGCTGTGCTGATTCACTGTGTTAAAAGTCAAGGTTCCATCACAGGTTCCAAAAGAAGTTAGCTGAGGGAAGCAGTTGGTGGGCTCACAGGGAACTGAAACTATAGAACCTTTTGGGAAGAAGACGTAAATAGTTGTAGGTCATAATCTTCATGCCTTCTAGTGGAGGATGTGATAAACCTAAGCCTATCTGTACAGCAATGAAATGGGGCCACGGACAGAAAAGGCAGACATGTTTGAATGAAAAAATTAAATATTAGTATTGTAAGTTTATAGTATTTTAAACAGTTACTCATTGGCTTGACAAGAATTGAGCATGTTCTCAATAAAAGGGGAAATCATGCAGCATGCAAAGGGTGTAGTGTAGAACATTTCTCCCTGGTTTGTTGGCTGTTCTCAGCTGCAGTCTGAAGTAGTACAGTTCATTCTACCATCTCAAGGTTCTGCTACCTTCATTTGCTACATATCTAGACTGGGTCTGAGTTCTGCTCACTTTTCTTCTGGTTCAGTCAGCTAGCTGGATTTATTGATGCATTTGGCACGGATTGCCCTCTTTTGTGCATGAGCAATATATTCACATTCATTCTGCTTTAATGTTTCCATCTTTCTTGTTTCTTCAGGGGCTCAACAGCATTTTTGAAGTTTACTTGGTGGGAAACAACTCCAACCATTTCATCATCTCCCCCACTTCAATTCAAGGAAAGGCAGACATCAGGATTAGAGTTGCAGTGCCACTGGATTTTGAGACAATCTCCCGCTATGACTTTTCTGTAAGAATTCTTCTGAGGGATGTGTGGACGACAAGGGGAGGGGAGAGGGGGG